AGAAATGTTAAAAATTGTTTTTCTGGGACAGCCTGGTCGTGTAGTGGTTAAGTTCGCGTGCTCTGCATCGGTGGCCTGGGGTTTGCAGGTTTGGATCCCGGGTGTGGACTTAGCGCTGCTGGTCAAGCCATGCTGTGGCGGCATCCCACATAAGGTAGAGGAAGATTGGCACAGATGTTAGCTCAGTGATAATCTTCCTCAAGCAAAAAGAGGAAGATTGGCTACAGATGTTAGGGCCAATCTTCCTCACACACACACACACACACACACACACACAAATAGTTTGCCTATTTTTGGGCTGGGGTGGATGGGGGTTGGCTTATTAAGGTCTAAGAGTTTTACATATATTCTGGATTCAAGTTATGTGTGTGTGTGTTTATATATACATATACACTACATATATATACATGTAATTTTCTTTGTGTTTAGCTTGCTAGCTTGCCTTTTTGTTTTCTTAATGGTATCTCTGAAGAACAGAAGGTTTTCATTTTGATAAAGTTTTATGAATTTTTAAAAAATGTTTTTTGTGTTCTACAAAATCTTTGCCCATGGTGTGATCACATAAATTTTCTGCTATGTTTCTTTTAGAAGCTTAATGGTTTTAGCTTTTAGATTTAAGTCTGTGATCCATTTTGACTTAATTTGTGTCCAGTGTGAGGTAGGGATTGAGATTTTCTTTGCACATGGTTCACTAGTTCCACCACCATTTGTTGAAAATACTATTCCTTCCCTCTTATCTTGGCACTCTTATTGAAAGCATTTGATGATATGTATGAGTCTATTTCTGGACTCTCCAGTTTATCCTTTTGCCAGCAGCACCCTGTTACGATATGGTTGAGTTTTAATCTCTCATCTTACTTTTTGTATTTTATTTGTCCCATCTGTTCTCTGTTCCTTTTCTTTTCTTCTCCTGCCCCCTTTAGGCTTGAGTTTTTTTAGGTTTTGTTTTGTTTTGTCGTGTTACAGTTTACTTCCACTGTTGGCTTATTGGCTATACTTGTTTTGCTTTTTTATAAAATAAAGGGTTTACGCTATGCATCTTTAACTTTTCACAGTCTGCCTTCAAGGAATAATAGACTATTTCATGTATAATGTAAGAAACTTGGAACAATCTACATCTATTTGTTCCCCTTCTGTTCTTTGTATGATTATTGTCATACATTTTACTTTTCCATTTTATTAGTGTGGGGGGATTTCTTTGTTCAGATTTTAGGGTTATAGCTAGAGAATAATCCTTGATTTATGAGGGGAGATGCTAGTAGAACTCTTTTTTATTCCATTCTGCTTTTACAAAAATGACCAGATGGTGGTGATTTATTAAAAAGTCTTTAAAACGTGATATAAATTCAGACCAGAAATTTTTGATATTTGAGTCTGGAAAAAGATGGTTATATCATATGCTCCCTTTTTATAGACCAAAATTAGAACTTGGAGCATTGGTGAGTGAACGTCTCTGAATATTACCCAGTTACTGACTTTGGGCAAATTATTCAGGGAAAAATAGTTTTAAAAATTCCTCCCCTATGTCTTTATCTGTATATAAGGTAAATTTAGTTGTAGTACTTTATATTAAAAAGTGTTTATTTTTAAGTGATTTTCCTAATCATTCTAAGGTTTTATTTTCAGGTCCTGATTTTGTCATTCAGTTTATATGTTATTCCTTTTCAGCTTTGTGTCATTTGAGAATATGGTGAACATTCCATTTATGCCTTCACATGAAATCATGGCTAAAAACAGATTTTGGAATGCCTATTGTAGGCTAATTTTTAATTATACAGCTTGTTTTATGTTACTGATCATTTATGCATTTCTAGACAAGTTTTAGGATTGATCTTTATTCTGTTTTAACTTTCAAGTGTATTATAGCTTATAATTCTTCTCTTTGTCCTGAAGGGTAATGAAGTTGGCACTGTGCTGCCTGAGAGAGGTCGGGAGGTTAGTGTTAATGTTGAGGATTAAGAGAGAAGATAGGGTTTTAGTTCTTGTAAAGTAGATTTCTCCCTCTATTATTAAGCTGAAACAAATTCTGGGGGAAATTTTGTTAATTCTGTAGACCTTTGTCTAGTCTTTTCCCCTTTTCTTCCTAATAAGAATTCAAACGAATAGTTGTTTGAAGTGTAATGGTATGTTTGAAAATTATATATTGTCTATCAGAAGATCATATGTTATCTTTCAGTCTTTCAGATAATTGGCTTTATATATTTGTAGATGTACTTCATCATTAAATATGTAGTTCAGAGAACCTCTATCATGGAAAATAGGGTAATCAGGTCTCATTTTTTAGTCATTTCACTCTTTTTCCTTTTTTTTTTTTTTTTTTTTGCCAAGGAAGATTCGCCCAGAGCTAACTTCTGCTACCAGTTCTCCTCTTTTTTGCTTGAGGAAGATTAGCCCTGAGCTAACATCTGCACCAGTCTTCCTCTGTTTTTTTGTATGTGGGACACTGCCACAGCATGGCTGGTGAGTGGAGTAGGTCCATGCCTGGGATCCAAACCTGCGAACCTGGACTGCCGAAGCAGAGCATGCGGAACTTTAACCACTAGGCCATGGGGCAGACCTCCTTTTATCCTTCTTGGAAAACCTTCCCTGGTACACTCCTTTTCAGAATCAAATTAGGTTGTACTCTAAATTTGTTTTTGTGCGTGCCTCTATCATAACACTTACTGTATTTCCATTACCTACCGATATGTCCCCTAACTTCTAGATTGTAGCTTGTTAAGGACAGATCTTTGCCGTGTTCACCTTTGTATGTACAATATTTGGGACAGTCTAGCACATTTAAGATACTCAGGAAATGTTTATTGCACATGTATTAGTTTGCTAGAGCTACCATAGCAAAATACCACAGACTGGCTGGCTTAAACAGCAAAAAGCTATTTTCTCACAGTTTTGGTGACTAGAAATCCAAGAATAAGATGTGTCCAGGTTTGGTTTCTCCTGAGGCCTGTCTCCTTGGTTTGCAGATGGCCACCTTCCTGCTGTATCCTCACATGGTCTTTTCTCTGTGTCTGTGTGTGTGTTCAGATTTCCTCTTTTTATAAGGGACGCCAGTGGGATGGGATTAGGGCCCACCAATATGACCTCATTTAACCGTAATTACCTTTTTAAAGGCCCTATATGTAGTCACATTCTGAGATATTTGGGGTTAGGATTTCACCATATGACACAGTTCAGTCCATAACACTTGGATACTTTGATTTGGCATATGTTCCAGGTGAAGGTGATTTCCTTTTTTTTTTTTTTCTTCTTCTTCTCCCCAAAGCCACCCCTGCCCCCAGTACATAGTTGTATATTTTAGTTGTGAGTGTTTCTGGTTGTGCTCTGTGGAACGCTTCCTCAGTGTGGCCTGATGAGCAGCGCCATATCCACGCCCAGGATCCGAACCAGCAAAACCCTGGGCTGCCGAAGCGGAGCTCACAAACTCAACCACTCAGTCACGGGGCCGGCCCCATGAAGGTGATTTCTTAAGGTCCAACACTAAACCAAGGTTGTCAAAGTTGGGACCAAAGATTTCCCAGCTTGTATAAGCACAAGTGGTTTAATTTTGGTGTTTTGTCTTAATTCCCACTTAGGTAATTGTAGCATTTAATAATTAAGACCCTGTAGCCCTTAGTGCTTTGAAGTATTACCTAGCTGTTCTCATTTAATAATTGGTTTTTTCCTTTACTCTTTATGTCACAAAAAATTGGTAAAACACACACACAGTCACACTCTCTTGGGCACATGTATGCTTTGTGTACATATTGGCTTTTAATGCATGATTGCTGAACATTTCAACCCAAGTAAAACATGTTTATTTGCCAAATTCTTGGTGGTAATTTGGAAAGGTGACACCATTCAATAAATTCTCTATATAAATTTCATAAATTACACATAATTTCCCAGTGCATACAGATAGATGCCTTGTTATCCCGGTGGAGCAACCAGATGGTTTTAGGCCCTTTCTTTTCCCATAGTAATCCCAGCTTTAGATTCCCACTCCTGCCTTCCCTTAAGGGTCCACTGTAAGATTTTTGAAGATATTATTGGCGGTAGTGAGGGGATGGTGATCAGGGTAAGCTCCATTGTCGCTCATTTGTCTCCTCCCTTTCCTAGGGATTGGGGGAAATTTGCAAATAATACCCTAGAGCCCCCTTCCCTTTTTTTTTTTTTTAAATCTTTTATTTTATAATAGTTTTACATTTACAGAAAAGTTGCAAAGATGGTACACGGACTTCCCATATACCCCTCACCCAGTTCCCCTGTTGTTAATATCTTATCTATTGTACATCTGTCACAACTAAGAAACCAACATTGCTACATTGCTATTAACTACAGATATTTTTTGATCTCCTCTGGTCTCAACAGTTTCTCAGTCTTTCCTTGTTTTCATCACCTTAATGGTTTAGAGGTGTGTTTGTCAGGTATTTTGTAGAACCCCCAATTTGAGTTTGCCTAATGTTTTTCTCATTGTTTTAACTGGGAGTTGTGAGTTTTGGGGAAGAATACCACAGAGGTGAAGTTCCCTTATTAGCAACATGACTTATGATTGATAATATTAACCTTGATCACCCGGCCAAGGTAGTGTTTGCCAGGGTTCTCCACTGTGAAGTTACTCTTCTTTCACCCTTAAGTCTTTTCTTTGGAAGCAAGTCACTAAAGAGGGACAAGTTGTTAAGCTCCACCTCCTGGAAGGGATGTATCTACATAAATCATTTGGAATTTTTCTATAAGGAAATTTGTCTCTTCTTTCCCACTAATTTATTTTTTCAATCATTTATTTATATCAGTATGGACTAATGGATATTTATTTTATACTTTGGGTTAGAATCCAATACTATGTTATTTATTTATTTATTTATTTAATTTTTCTTTTAAAGATTGGCCCTGAGTGAACATCTGTTGCCAATCTTTTTTTTTTTTCCCTTCTTCTCCCCAAAGCCTTCCAGTACATAGTTGTATATTCTAGTGATAGGTCCTTCTAGTTCTCAGTGGTGCTAGGTCCACGCCCAGGATCCGAACTGCCGAAACCCTGGGCCACTGAAGCAGAGCGTTGGAACTTAACCACTTAGCCGTGGGGCCCGCCCCTATGTTATGTATTTTGTTGCTACAATTGTTCTAGCTGTAGCCATTGGAAGCTCTTTCAGATTGGCTCCAGTGTCCCTTTGACATGCCTCTATCCTTCTGTTTTCTGTGTTCCTTACTTTCTGACATTGCAGGATGCTCCAGGCTCATCTTGTATTTTCCTTGCCACAGCCCTAGAATGAGCCATTCCTCCAAGGAGCGCTGATTCCTTTTATTGGTATTAATAGTATTAAAAATCAGAATCTGAGTGCTGAGTCCCTGTGCCCTGTTTACTTGACTCTTCAGTTCCTATGCAGAGTGCCTGGTAAGTCTGAACCTGGCTATTTGGATGAGTGGTGAAGGGGTTTCAGCATCACATGTTGTATCATAGTACTTGGTAGTATCTATGTGTGTTCACTCCGTCTTCTGCTGTGGAGTCATAAGAAGTAGCAATGTAAAAGCACTTCTAAGTGTTTAATATAGAAAAGTTAAGTTAGAAAGCTTTAGAAGGAATGTATGCTTGTTTTAGGGGCAGGCAAGTAGGAAAACATCATTAGATTTTTCTGTTTTTTTCTGAGCCTCAGAAAAAATGAGCTCTTTGGATGCAAGAAGAAAGGGTGTCATCAGGAAACCTGCCACAGACAAAGGGGTATATTTGAGAACTTCCGCTAACGGGAATTGCAGACTTCCTAGAGCCTGTTTCTCTCCCTCATCATCGTCATCATCATTGATATTGTCATCGATAATGTTAGTATTATTTTGCCATACTGCTGTTATTCCAGCTTTACCTCTCTTTTCCCATAATGCTGGCTTTTTTTTTTTTTTTAAATCGTATAAGTCACCTACAGGTGATTGTAGACTGTCAGGGCAGGTGAAGGTTGAGAGAGAGTGGAGTTCCTTTCCAATTGCTTTGGCTGGAGGTTGGGTGTTAGTAATGGAAATTGGAGCTTTTAAATGTATTTCTGCCTTGAAACTTTATTAAACATGTTAGAAAATGAATGGAGTTGGATCTAAGAAAGAGTTTATTGCTGAATTCTCTTCCAAAACCTGATTTGAAATAGCGGTTGCAGCTCTAAGAAAAGGTTTTAGTCAGAACAGCAGAATTTGTTTTTGTCACAACAGTTTGAAGGAAGAGCCAGTGATATTCACAAGGTTTTCTGAATTTCCAAATATCTTTTTTTTTTTCTGCTTTTTCTCCCCAAATCCCCCCAGTACATAGTTGCACATTTTAGTTGTGGGTCCTTCTAGTTGTGGCATGTGGGGCGCCGCCTCAGCATGCCCTGATGAGTGGTGCCATGTCGGCTCCCAGGATCCGAACCAGCAAAATCCTGGGCCGGCAAAACCCTGGGCCACCAAAGAGGAGTGTGCAAACTTAACCATTCGGCCACGGGGCCGGCCCCGTGAATGTCCCAATTTCTTATCTTTTAAAAATTCTATGGTTCAGGGCCAGCCTGGTGGCGCAGCGGTTAAGTTCGCACGTTCTGCTTCTCGGAGGCCCGGGGTGTGCCGGTTCGGATCCCGGGTGTGGACTTGGCACCGCTTGGCACACCATGCTGTGGTAGGCTCCCCACGTATAAAGTAGAGGAAGATGGGAACGATGTTAGCTCAGGGCCGGGCTTCCTCAGCAAAAAAGAGGAGGACTGGCAGTAGTTAGCTCAGGGCTAATCTTCCTCAAAAAAAAAAAAAAAAATTCTATGGTTCAGCCTTTGTCCTCCTCCTTATATTTAGCTTATTTATTTTATTTATACTTAGATTTTGGGATTGGCACCCACTGGGCACCAAAGTTTTTACATAACAAACCTGAGTCTCTCTTTTTTCCCCCCATTTGGTTATTTTACTTTATAAATTTCTCAAAATACAAAGAACATAAAGAATAAAAATACATTATAGATGAGAGAAGTCACCTATGTTTTTCTTCTTATCAGTTTGAAGAAGCTCTTTGCGTATTAGGAATATAGTTTCATATTTTTCAATATGTGTATATTTTCAAGTGTGCCTATTTTCAAATTTTCTTTTACCATTTTTATGAATCTATATGCAGTTTTTTGCACTGTTGAAATTTTCATCTTATTTTGTACATTTCAATAAAAACAGATAATATTGTCAGTCACATTTGGCATGTTACCATGTTAACCTAGTAAGTAACTAAAAATTATTAACCATATTATTGTAAATATACCTGAAACATTCTATATGCACATTTATTTTACTGAGAACAGTGTTTTCTGGATGGCTCAGAATTGTGATTCTGAATATCAGCTTTTATTCATTGTTGTATTACAGTGTTGCCCTCAGAATCTTTTCACATAAATAATGTTTAAGCAAACTGCCTTCTTTTTAGTTATTGGGATGAGTGACTTAGTTGTTCTCTCTTAATTGTTATTAGGTGCTACCACTAATATTCTGTTCTGCTTGGAATCCAGAAAACTAAGCTTATTAGAATTATTTGTAAAATAAAATAATCTCTTGAGTATTGAATTGCATGTGGCCTTTCTGACAATTATTTTGACGCTTCAGAGAATCATTTTCCTTTAGGCTGTGTTCCCAAGAGGTGAAGTTACTGGAAATCTGGCTTCCAAAGAAATGGAGTATCTATTACTTCCTTTCAGAATGAGAAAAGGGGAGTTATTTGAACAACATGATAAGACTGAAGAGTATTTTATGCAAGGGAATTATAAGTAACTGAACTATGAAAGATACCATATTTTAACATGAATATTTGCTTGGGTGGGAGTATGAGATTTAAAGCCAAGTGTTATACCAGCAAAAAATAGCATTTATTCCAGAACGGCATACTGCTGTAGTGTTCTGCAGTTTGTTGTTCTAGTTTCTTGTTGAGCATTGCTCTGAAAAATCGTTGAAGGCTTCAAGATCATATTTTGATATTTTGGCTCACGTTTGGTCTATTCTGGGGATGTAGCCCTTGACTTGGTAAACCAGTCCTCCCTCCTCCCTTCCTTCTTCCATGTTGGGAGAGTAGGTACAAAAGAATATGAAGTTATGCTAATCCAATAAGTAACTGATTATAGTGGCTTTTTGTTGGGCTGCTTTAACAGCATAAAGTTGCCAATTTAAGTCCTTTTTTGAGTAGAGAGATGCTTTTATCTATCTTTTCCAATACAGGATGGCATATTTGATAAGGTGTGGGTCCTGATATAAATAGAAAAGTTAGAGATTGGGTAAAGAGAAGAAAGATGTTAGAATTTATTCTTAATAGTCTCTATTTTCTCTGGAGTAAGAAAGTCATTTGCTTAAAATGAGAGGATGTAAAAAGAGTATAGGGCTTCAGGAAATAAGTAAATATTTGGGTCCTTTACTATGGGGAATGGGGAAGTAGGTATAAAGAAGAATTGCCGGGTAGTTATTGGTCTAGTTGAGAATTTAAAAAAAAAAAACTTTCAATTAAAAATATTTGATACTGGTCAGGATGATTTAAAAAACATAGCAGTAGCCTAAAAGCAAAGGCAAGTGGTTTGATTGGTATAAAATTAATGATTGTTTGGAAGAGTGTTTACAGAAGAAAGGGATTAGGAATTTAGAGCAGAGCTCTTCAGCTAGTGTACCATGATCACCTCAGCGCTCAAGGAGTCAAGGGAGGGCCCTCAGTGGCTGGAGCCCCAGGGCTGGCATCTTGTAGTGAGCTGCCTTATCTACTTAGGGTAGATATCCCAACAAATGTAATATTCTAGGTGTATCATGACAGAAAAATATTTGGGAAGCACTGATTCATACAGCTGGTGAGAGCAGTTCTGAGATGTTTTACTGAGATTTGCTGGTTAGTCAAAATGTAAAAGTCAGGAGAGAATTAATAAATAGGGAGAAAGGCTTCCCGGGCTTTGTCTTCTCAGAGTTTCTCTTCTCAGACTTTGTTAGCTGTTTTCTAGGTTTTTTTGTTTTTGTTTTTTTCTTGCTGCATTCTATTAGATACCCTCCAATGCTTTTAGCTGTTTGTTCTCTATATTCACAACTTCACTTTTATGAAAGTAATTTATTGACTCTAGTGATTTTTATCTTCCTCCGAGAAGATAATGCTAAAATCTGTATTTTTTAGATCTGATATAGGCATATTTCCATCTGGTTGTCTTACTATTATTTCAAAATCAAATTATCCAAAACTGAATGACTGTGACTTACATTTCTTCCAGATAGCCAATCAAGAGGCCTCAGAATTGTCATTGGCTTTTCATTTCCTGTTTCCGTATCTTAGTTCTTTGTCTTAAATGACTCTCACGTTTGCCTGCCCTGCCTCAGACTTCACTTCACCCTTCACCCCTAAAACCGCCTTTTGCCCCTATCGCTGCAAGACTTTCTCCCTGGTCTCTGGCTTTCCCTCCAGCCTACTCCTGCCAGAAGCTCCTCAGTTAAATCTTTCTAAATTGTGTTAAGCAGAGGCATCACTTCTTGATGATTTGACTGCATCTTATTCTCTCCCATTAAGAAAACAAACACCAAAAACCCACATTCTAAACATTGTTTAGATACTGCTATTTCTTGCCATGTTTCAGCATTGTTTGAAATGAAGGGTTTTCTCTGCCTGCCATCACCTTGTGCATCCTTCATAGTTTGACTTGGATGTCACTTTTTCTGTGAAGCCTTCACCAGAGATATCAATTGCTTTCTCCTTTGTGTTCCTATAGAGTGCTTTTATTTATATCATTTTTTATAGCATTCTATATTTTGGTTAGTTATTTTCTTTCTGTTGTAGTAAGTTATGAGCTTCTTGAAGGATAGGACCCTATATCTTATTTAAATCTCTGCCCACAGATCCAGCATACGAAGTAGTTATTCTGTAATTATTTGAATAACTGGTCATGTACCAAATTAGTCAAAATTTTTCATCTTGACTTTTGTAGCCCACCGTAATTTGATTCCATACTACCGTTTTTGAATATTGTTTCCTGCTTCTCACGAGGATATGCTCACTGCTTCAGTGAGGATGTTCTCTTTGAAGAGTCTTGTGTAAGCCCTAATAATTTTTATTTTTGTATTTTTGATTTTGATTTCTTCTTACTTCTTTAGCCTCATTCAACATATGTGACTGCTCATTCATAAGAAAAGGATCATCATTTTAAGTTATTGGCAACAATTAGTTAAAAATATTAAATGTCCTCCTGTCAAGATTTAAAATTTTATTTGGCACTATGGTTTAATTTCTACATTTAGCTCTTACAGATTGTTAAATTTTGATAAGGTATTAGGCATGTTAAAACAGATGTCTTTCCACATATAAAAATATTAATCCTGGGGCCGGCCTGGTGGCACAGCAGTTAAGTTTGCACGTTCCACTTCTCAGCGGCCTGGGGTTCGCCGGTTCGGATCCTGGGTGCAGACATGGCACCGCTTGGCAAAAGCCGTGCTGTGGTAGGTGTCCCACGTATAAAATAGAGGAAGATGGGCATAGATGTTAGCTCAGGGCCAGGCTTCCTCAGCAAAAAGAGGAGGATTGGCAGTAGTTAGCTCAGGGCAAATCTTCCTCAAAAAAAAAAAAAATTTAATATTCTTTAAGTTGGCTTCTGTCACTTTAAAAAAGAGAGAACTCTCAATTCACCAAGTTCCAATTTCCAAGGAAACCTGGAGGCCCCTTGAAGTTCAGTTTTAGAAACTAGAAATTTAAATAACAGTAATGTCTAAGAGTAGTTTCTAGATTTGAAGCTTTGAAAGTTGGCAGATTGATTACTTGAAGTATCAAGAACGAAAGATTGTAGAGGTTTGTTTTCCTTGCACATTTTTTTAAACTTCTAATTGAC